ACCAAGTCCCGCATATAAGCTCGCAGACACGATCACGCATCATGAATGGGGCCTGGCTGATGGCTGTCTGACACATTGCGCCCCACCTCACCCCCACAGGAAGCCTGGCTCTGCAGCAACTCGCCAATGGGGCGTATCGGATCGGCAACGACTCGTTTCGCGTGGTGCCGCTGAGTGAGCTGCCTGCTGGCCACCGCTACGTGGCGAGCTACAAGGATAGCGACCCGGTTGTCAGCTGGGGCAACGACTGGTTGTTCCGGTCCTTCTCATCGCTGCTGATGGTGATGCTGGCGAATTGGTGGAGCGTGGAGGAGGGCGTGGGCGACCAGGTTGTGGTGAATCGGCAGTCGTTCATCGGCAGTCGTCGCTATGGGCGACTGGTGAGTCGCCGCCTGCCGCAGACCGAAGGCATCGCAGTCGGCTACTGCGTCGGTCACAGCGACGAAGTGGACGAGCGTCGGCTGGTGATCGTGAGCGGCTTCAGACCCAACGAGACCATCGCGGCCTACGTGTGGGCGCAGCAGGGCATCATCCGCCTGCGCACCACGGAGCGATCCGCCGCCGCTGCTGCTGCTGCTGCGCCGCCTCCCCCCTCCCTCACCCCATCGCAGGCCCTCTCCAGCCGCTTCCCGGTGTCGACGCCTCTCTGGCTGAGTGTGTTGCGCCGATTCGAGCTCGAGACCAATGTCATCACCCCTCGCACAGTGGGCTGAGGGCAGGGGGATGTGGGCGCGGCGGGCGGGCGTGTAGTGCATTCGACATTGACGGTCTGACGTGACGTGTGAGGGGCGAATGAGATGAATGTCTGTCTGTCTGTCTGTTGGTCAGTCTGTTGGTCAGTCTGTGTGTGGAATGGACGAGCAGTGTACAGTCAGTTAGACGGTGACAAAAGCGATGGATGCGTCGCTTTTTGGCCGACCGGCCACATGTCGCCCAAATGTTGCTCAAAACCGTCCGTTTACGTGGACGGAAGGGGACAGACGGTGTGATCTGGCCGGGGAGGGGATGGTCCGGACGGCTGGTGGTGCGTGCATGATGTATGCAGACAGACGGTGCGTGTAGATGGATGGACTGGGGAAGGGGAATCGGGTGGCTGTCTGCCTGGCCGTCCGTCCCTTCGTCCGTCCGTCCGTCCCTCCATACGTCCGTCTATCTGAATGTCCCCGTGTGCGTGGAATGACTGAGTGCTGTACACCTGTGTGGGTGAGAGTGGCTTCTTGGAGGGTGGCCAAGGGATCTGTCACCTTGTTTGCCGACCAACCAGAAGGCGCTATACCACTTCCGCCTCATGAATGCAATGCATCCAGATGTCTGGGTGGGGCGACTGTGGTGGCCTGGGCAGACAGGTGTGCAGATGCCGTGTGCGATGGATGGATGAATGGACTGGGAAGGGGAATCGGATGTCCGTGTGCATAGTCCATCTAATGACGACTGGGTGAAGCGATCGATGGGATGCGTGTCTGTGTGCCAGCCAGCCTGTTTGTCTTTCTGTCTGTCTGAATGTGTTTCTGTGCGTGGAATGGCTGATTGACGTAGAATGGGTGACGCACGCATCAACCACGCATCCCTTCATGTCGAATAAAAGGCCAGCATCGTCAATCCATCCATCCGTCCATCCATCCATACTTACCCGCAATCCCACCACTACTATCAACATGCACCTACCCCTGGCCCCCTTGGGCTACTCACAACAATCCCAACACAACGAACCTCTGCCTCTCCCACCTGGCACCACACCGGTTGACCACACCCAGCTGGCCCCACACCACATCCACACCGCCACCATACATGGCCGGCATGCCGTGTCGCGCCGCCTCCTCCCTTATAGCCTGCCTCACCACCTCATGCAGACCCACACGCCGGCACCCCACACCCCCCACCACAAAGCACCCCTCCGCCAGCTGCTCCACCCGTCCCTCGTCGGCCGTCACATCCAGCGAGGCAGCCAGGCTGACGAAGTTGCTGAGTATGGTGTGCGATCGACGCCCCAGCGGCCCTGCGCCACGCCCGTTGCCGAAGTACTTCTCGATCGGGTGAGTGTCGGCGAGGAAGGATGCGATGCGCCATGAGTAGATGGGGTCATTGATGGGGAATGGGGGAGGGGGAGTGTTGGGGTGGGCGAGTCGGGGGCTGGGGAGGGTCTCGAGCACTCGCGTGGCCGACCAAGCTGGGCGAAGCGCACTGTCGATGGCCTCGGTGATGAGTTGCTGTACATCGGCACTGAGGTACTGCAAGTAGGCGTTGCTCATCCACATGGCTCGCGCGCCTTGGGCTGGCGGCAGCGCCATGGCTGGCACAGTCAGCAGCGGCGGCACGGCTCCAAGCTTGATCAGCTTCATCAGCTTCTGGTGCCCGAGGTAGTCATTCGCGGCGACCAGTGCCAGCGGGGTGTTCCCGTCTAGATTGCTGTCATTGATGTCCTCTGCCGCGCCGCGCTCCAGCAACCAGTCGATGGTCGCATTGATGGTCCTCGAGGAGCCCGGGGACGCCGCAGCAGCGTGGTGGAGTGGGTAGGACTGGCTGGCGTCATGTGTGTGGATGATGCCCCGGCCGCCCCCCTTGCTATACAGCAGCTCCAGTAGCCGCAGCTGACACGACGCCTCACCCAACGGCCGTCTGCAGAAGGTGTGGATGGGATGACGGCCGTTGTCGTCCATCTGGGTGGCGAGTCGGGGCTGGAGGCGGATCAGCCGCTGTGCGATCTGCAGCTTCTCGTGCGGCTCCATCCAGCTGGAGGCCACCTGATGGAGCGTGTTCTGTCTGAGGACTGGGGAATGGTCCAACAGGACGATAACCACGCCATAATTACCCTGACAGGCAGACAGGCAGGCAGGCAGACAGACAGCAGATCATGACGGCTGCACTCGTCCCCATCATCCCCCCCCACACATGCTATGTCCTCACCTGTGCAAGAGCCAGCTGCAGTGGGTCGCCACGGTTGACATCGCTACCTCCAGCGAGGAGCGCCCGAATGACGCCCGCCATGTGTGGTTTCTCCTCGTGATACTTGACGGCCAACATGACCAGCGTCATGTGCTCCGGTTGCTCCCGGCTGAGGCTCGCGCACACTCACGATCGTCTTGGTATCGGCCCCCTGGCTGATCAGCCGCCTGGCACCAGCCTCATCTACTTCACCAGACGCCATGGCAGCGACCAGCTGCCGTGTGGCGGTCGGCATGTCTGATGGAATGGCGACGATGATCTCATGCTGCCCGCCATACAGATCAAACACGCTCTCGACTGTGTCGGAGGGACCACAGACAGATGGGCACCTGCAAATGCAAATCAGAAGAGAGCAATCAATGAATCGACGAAGCGATGAGTCAATGCATTCATCGGCCGAAGATGTGGTGTGGTTTCCTGACCGACCATTCTCGCGGCTGCTGACTCCTGGCGTAGCGCAAAGCCATGCTGCGCTGGTAGTTGGGGACGAAGCAAGTAGCACCGGGATACCAGGGCCTCATCTTGCCCAAGAAGTCCTTCATCGGTCGGCAAACGTGATTCGAAGCTCGCAAGCGCCCGAAGTTTGCCCGAGGGAGTTGCCGCCATCCTCCTTCATTCTCTCTACTCACAGTCACGTAAGAAAGCAGAAGGAGCGAACATCCATACCGACTTCCTCAGCAGAGCTGTGTGGTGTGTGCATGTGCGCTGTTTCAGGTGCCACATCGTTTGTTGGTTAGGTTAGTCGATGGCGTTCCGTGTTACTAGCACACGCCAGCGCCCGAACCCCCGGCCAGTGCCTTCCCTCTGGAGCATCGCACTCAACAAGGCCGCCTCCATGGCCATGGCCAGCGAGGGCAGCAGCAGGCGTCTGGCCCTCCTCGCACAGCTCAGCAGACAGCCCATGACGGAGATCCCCGCTGGCGTGACGCTGCCGATGGCCCTCGAGCAGCACAAGGAGCAGATCATGACTCGGGAGGGCCTCCATGGCGTGCTGTCGTTCGCCACAGGCAATGTCCTGGAGGCGGCCATCAAGACGGTGTACGTGCTGGAGAAGGGCGGGGCGTGGCGGGAGTGGGTGGGGCCCCTCCATCTCGCCAAGCATCATGGGTGCGTGGATGCCCTGCCCATCCAGATGACGGCGCGCGACCTGCGGCACATCGGCATCAAGTGGCGGTTTGACGGGCGGCCCGAGAGAGTACGCCAGTTCTCCCTCTTCGGCCATCGACTCAAGTTACAGAACGGTGAGAAGCTGAGTCTGCGCGAGATGGAGTACGAGGGCTTCTGGCAGTGCCACGAGGCGCCGAAGGCCGGCTGCGCATTCTCATACGACGCCAAGGACCCGCCATGTGACGACAACATCAGTGGGTTGCGCACGACGACCAACAAACGGATAACACTCATGTGCATGTTGCCCACCTCTGTGTGTGCAGACTTTTCTGTTCTCACCGGAACATTTTCCAGCTTCCAAGGCGCCGTGCTGTACAGGTATGTAAGGCTGGACACTCACACACCACACACCATCAAGCAACCCACCAGCCACAGTCTGCTCTTGGTTCGCCTTCACAGCATTCAAGGCGGCGAGGAGATGGGCGGCATGAAGACGCTCGCCTATAAGGACATGGTTAAGGAGCTCGACCCGCAACGATACGCCCGTGCCCTGGCCATCCACCAAGAGCGCTCACCTGCCCGCCTGAAGGTCCAGTACGAGGCCCATGAGGACACCTTCAGGGCCGTCTCCGCGCCACCCGACGAGACGGACAAGATCTCCGGCAGCCGCATCACGCTGCACGGCGACAAGGCGGGCGACGAGTACGCCCTCTACTTGGCCATCGAGCTCCGGCAGGAGGAGGACGACCCCTGCATCAACGAGGACGACGACGATGACTTGTTCGGTGTGTTCGATGACCACAACGGGCCGTGGGAGGTGGTCGTGGTGAAGCTGCTGACGACGGCCAAGGGGACCAGCCAGAAGGAGGCTGCCGTGGCCAAGGCGAGGGAGGTGCTGGGGGAGGCGGATATGCGGATGCTTTTCAACCGCCTCCTGACGCAGGGTAGTAGCAGCCATGCGCAGCGGGCGTCGGCGGCGCCTTAGATTGAACGCCTTTTTGTAAGTGACTTGAAGTAGATGGGGGGGGGAGTGTGGCCCTTTCTGGGTGCGTCTGCTGCTGCTGTTGGTGTGGTGTGGTGTGGTGTATGTTAGTTGACGGCTTTGTGTGGCTCGTGTGCGGGTGGCGGCGTGTCTGCGGGCGGCATTAAGCATGCATGTACTGACGGCGGCAGCACGCATGACGGCATCGTCAGAAACGCTGCCGCCGGCCCGAGACAACACGCCGAACCAACGCCTGTGTCTGGTGGGTGTGCATATGTAAATATAAAAGCATCGTTTATGCCTAGAAGACAGTCTGTCGATCGATGTGTCCACGACGGCTGCACATGGCCTCCGTGTATGAATGGATGCCGTGGCTGATTGGTGCGCTGATCGTGCTTTTCTGTCCGGGCTGTGCTGCGTTTGTATATGTCATAGCTCTATGGTCAGTGTGGCGCTGCTGATGCAGTGTGGCGGACCAATGGCGTGGTGTACGTGACGTGAAAGAATTGAACGCATTTGCCTTGAACGAACTTGATAGATACACATGGGCAGATTGATTAACTTGGGTCCAAGCAACGATGCGACCACTACAAACCGATATCTGCACTGACCACGCGTGTGTCCATATGAATGCTCACTCGCAGCCCACCTGATCCATCCACCAATCCATCCATCCATCCATGCATATGCACCCCCACCCATGCAGCAACAAGCACAGGAAAACAGGCCATTCCTTTAGGGTTTAGGGGCGTCTCCGTCACAACCAATCAGCCGCAGGGGTGCAGATGAGTGAGTGGGTCAAGTGGGTCAACACTGAGCAGGCCGCGCCACGTCAATCCTACAACCGACGGTGCATATCCCATTCAGAGCAGTACACCCTCTTCCCAACCACTGCTCACAGTGCCACACATGCCCCTCCCTCCCTCCCTCGATGGCATCGCATGTGTCTGTGTTCCCGTCCTCGTCGTCCTGTTGGCTATCGCGACGGTGCCCTGCGTCGCTGGCACGGCATCGTCTTGATAAGCAACAGCATGACGAGGACGAGCCACACAAAACAAACTTCTTGGTGCCATCTCAGACACACTTGCCCCAAATACACACGTACACACCAATACACACGTACACACCAATAATACAAAAGGCCGCAACAGCCTCACCAATAAGATAAAAGGCACACACAGTCAGGCGGCGATTCTGACGCTCATCCATTCAGACTTACGTATCGGAACACCAAAAAATGGCTCCTCCACTAGGCCTCACTCATCGTGGAAGGTCTGCTGGATGCCGAGCCTATCATAGTCCATCCCCATCGACTGCATGAACCCCTCGGTTGCAGCCCAGCACCGCGGGTACCGACCATGGCCACCCTGCGCACCAGAGATGGGCTGCTCGAACGACCGCACGTCCACCCCAATGGCCGTGGGCCCTTCTCCGACAGACACCAGGGCTGCGTACGTGTCCTCCGCCTTGTCGCCCGCCAGCCCGATGTAGCGCACCTTGAAGTCCTCGGGCCACATGTACTCCAAGACGGTCTTGTCGGTGATCGGTTCGTCGAGCAGCTTCATGCCGTCGGCCTCGCTCACGTGCCCCCTGGCCAGCTGGCCTCTGGTCAGGTGCTCTCTGGGCACTGCAGGAAAGTCCAGGATGCTGATGGAGTGCGTGAGGATCCGCTGGTTGATGTAGCCGCTGAATGAGGGATAGATGAAGGAGAAGACGACATGCCGAGCGAGTATGCGGATGGCAGGGTCCTTGGCCTCGAATGCTGCTTGGTATGGGTGGCCCTCGAGGCCTTCACGAGGCACGACAGCGATGTCCTCTGTGCCGATGCGGTACTGGCGCCTTCGCAGCCGAGTCAGCCCGAGAGTGCCGTCCTGGTCAGTGTCCAGCTGCCCTCCGAAGGCGGCGAATTGCGCGATGGCGTGGGGCATGTTGGACATGGCTCTCTTGTAGGGGAAGGTCAGGTGGAGGGATGCGGGGCATATGGGGACGGGCAGGCTGTTGCTGCCGCTGATCATGCGCTTGTTGCGGGCGATGTAGATGCCCTTGGTCCATCTCTTCCAGCCCTTGGTGACGTCCAACAGGTGCGCCGACCGCACAAGATAGTCGAAGTAGCTGAGGCCGACGGGCAGAGGAATGCTGGTCGGCTGACGCGACACGTCGAGCAGTCCGGTCATGCCCTCGGCCGCCAGGGATGCGTCGATGCGGTCGAGGATGAGTGCGGGTGTCACCCTGCGGTGTCCATCGGCCTTGTTGGTGCGCCGCAGTGCCACGCAGCTGGCCAGATCAGAGCAGAGGAGGATCAGTGAGAAGATGACCTCGTCGATGAGGCTGAAGAAGCACACGCCATCGGCGGAAGGAACGGACGTCTTGTCAGCTGGCGGCATCGCGCCAAGGGAGAAATACTCCTATTCCTCCTTGAACGAGGAGAGAGCTTGACTTACGAGCTTGCGAACCGTTGCGTTTCTCGCCGAGACGGCCAGGAAAAAGAAAGCGCGCCTAGGAAAGAGCCAGAAAGACAGAGCGCCCTCTTTTGTTATCCGGCAGTCTGCGCCATTTTCTCTCCACCTCCATGGCTCCACCTCTTCTTCAAAGAGCAAACGGTTGCCCCCTCCCTCGCCGTCTTTCCGCGTCCTTGCCTCCCCCTGCCCTTCGCACCCGTCTCTTCGGCACACAGGAGACGAAGACCATGAATTGGAGACAGAGATGGTGGAGTCTCTGGGCCTCCCAGAAGATTGCAACAAGGAGGCTTGGGCAATCGTACGCACCAAAGCAAAAGAAAGAAAACATGCAGATCATTTCCTTCCATGCACAGACCATTGGCCGGGTTCGAGAGGCCGTGCACTGGCTCTTTGGCACCGACGCCCTTCTTTTCGGCTCAGCAGCTTACAAGCTGGCTTTATGGGAGAGCGACGTCGACCTGTCAGCTGCCATCCCGGCCGACAAGGCCGACCAGCTGCTGAGAGAGGGCGTGGTCGACGACCGTCAGCTGGCAGAGAGGGTTCACGAGCTTTCCATGAGGGAGAAGGCAGCAATGAAGGAGTACGAAGCCGCCCAAAGGGAGAGGAAGGTTAAACACGATCTGAAACAAGTGGAGGTGAGACAAGAGTGGAAGGAGCAAGAGCACGCGGCGTTGAAAGCATCTTCTGTTTCATCCCAGCGGGATGTGGTGGACGACGGCCTCAACGGGCTGCTCGCAGGGGCGGGTGAGGGGGCCAGGGCCGGCTGGCGGTCTGGCCTGGATCACCGATCCGACGACGCTGGAGAGCTGCGCGAATGGGTGTGTTGACAGACAGACAGACAGACAGAAAGACAGTCGGACAGACATCTGCTGTGTCCGTGCTGGTCGGTCAGGATTCTGATTTCGTTTTGAGGTGACCCCTCTGGGCCAGCTTACGCCCATGAGCAACTCGCAGCTGCCCTCCCCACGGCAGCACTGGTACGACAACCGGCCCATCCTCTCACCAGTGCCGCCATCGAGGCCGCTGCCGGAGGGGGACGCACGGCTGAGCGGACTGGCGGGCGGCGCGTCTGCTGGTGGCCATAGCCTGGAGCTGAGTGCGTCGGTTGACGACACCATCAGCAAGCTGCGCGAGATCGCGCGCGGCTGGGGGCGGACAGGGCACTGAGGAGGGCACTGAGGAGAGCACTATGGCAGCGAGGGAGATAGCAGGTAGGCAAGAGGTCAGACAGACAAATCATGGCCGATAACCCTCACACGAGCCGTTCCCTCGTCTCCTTCCCTTCCCCGCCCCGCAGCGTTGCGCGAAAGTATCGCATGGCTAGAGAGAGAGTTGCAGACGAGCGGCGAGGAGGTGCTCAGGCTTCAGACGCTCATCGCCAGCAGCAGGTGGTTGACCAACAACCCACCAGAGCCCACGGCGCGGCTCCGATAGGCCGTGCACCGGCTCTTTGGCACCGACGCCCTTCTTTTCGGCTCAGCAGCTTACAAGCTGGCTTTATGGGAGACCGGCGCTCAGCTGTTCCGGCCGACAAGGCCGACCAGCTGCTGAGAGAGGGCTCGGCCAGGCAGGGGCGTCAGGATGTCCGGGTGTTGGCCTGTGAGAAGCTGAGGGATGACCTGAAGCATCGGGTGAGTGAAGGACAGGAAGGAACCCAGGAAGGAGAGAAAGAACACGGAGACATGTGCGCTGCGTGCATGTCAACAGTATGGGGCCGACATGGCCATCCACGCACGAAATGGGGCGCGTGTGCCGATCGTGCACTGCCACCTATCGAAGGTACCAAAGTGACACACATCAGATGATGGTTTGTGTCTGGTGTGTGTCTGGTCAGAGCCAAGGAAGGTGGAAGGCTGATGTGGCCTTTAACAACGGCCTGGGAAGCCACAAGGCCAAGATCCTCCTCGCATATATGGAGTCTTCTCCAATTATCAGGGAGCTGGGTAAGCGGAGACACCGGTCACCGACCGTTTGCAAAACACAGTGTGACAATTCACGGCTTGCTCTGTTCCTCAGCCCTGCTGGTGAAGCGGTGGGCGAAGGGAAGGGGACTGTGCGGTGGCAGAGGGCTGACGTCCTTGGGATGGGTGCTGCTTGTAATATACTACGATCAAATGAGGTAGACAAGCGGATGGATTCACACGGGATCACATGTTTCATGTTTTATGTCAGGACGCCACCTCTACTGCCCAACCTGCAGCAATCGTGTGGTGGCAGTCCTAGACGCGACGAGACGGTCACCACCTACGACTTCGACAAGGACGCATACATCAAACACAACGTACCTACGGGCAGATTGTAGCATGCAAAACAACTAATGACCCGTGTCTCTCCTGTGACTTAGGTTTACCCACTCGTCGACAAGTCCGACGCCGCTTTGCCTGCTCCCCCGATGAGCCACCCCTCGCCGTCTTTCCGCGTCCTTGCCTCCCCCCTGCCCTACGAGCACGTCCGTAGTGAGCAGGACAGAAGGCTCATGGCCTTTGTCAAGGATGCGGAAGACGAGCTCGGGTTTCTCGACCACATGAGGTGAGGCCTCAAAGATATAGGGGCGCAGGAGGGCTGCGCATGACTGGCCTGTCTGTGGTCGTGCTGGTCAGGCGACGGCAGAACCGACATGCAGCCAACAGCCACAATCTCAAGCTGCACACAGTATTCTACGAATTTTTTTACAGTGAGACAGCCGACTTCTATGCAGAATCAAACAGACCACAAACAGATTAACGCTTCTTCGTTTTTTTTGCTTGCGCCCCAGGTTCTATAGATCGTGGCTTGACGCCACGAAGCACATCATATCCATTCGCCTCGCCCCGCGCCGCATCACCAAGACGGATTATCTGGCATCTTCGGTGAGCGACAGCAAGAAGGAAGCGAGAAGAGCAGGACGAAATAGAAGCAAGTCTGTTGGCTTGTGTTTTGCAGGAGATCTCTGACAAAGAGGAATACAGGCAGCGGCTTGACGTGCGGAAACAAAGTCAGTAGAAAAGACTTGCAGGGATCACTCTCTGTGGCTGACGTTTTCAGCACCTATGGGTTGAGGACCCAATCGAGACAGGCAGTGTCCATTTCGTTGACGCCATGGTACACATACATACATACATACATACCTATGTGCCGTTCTTCTTCAGAAAAAACGAGAGATGGACCAGGAGATCGCTCGTGCCCTGGAGATGCTGGCCCGCCACAATCCCCGAGTCCTGTTTGGTGAGATTGTGGCAGACAAGCTCTTCTACGGGCCTTCTCCTGGCCGCGGCCCGCCCCTCCATCGAGGCCCTGTACTGAAGACGTTCAAGATGAACTTGCCGGTATATGCAAATGAGACATAAGTCAAACAGATGAGATGAATGCACGGGGGCTCCTGTTTGCTTCAGGGGGATGGAGGCAGATATGTTGGCACAAAGGCGTGTGTCCTCAATCGCATCAAGGAGCTCTGCTCTCAGTTGGGAGGTGCGTAGACTGACACGTATCAACATCGCAGGACACATCCATCCATCTTGACTGCCCTTACCAGGGGTGACCATCGAGACACCGTTGAGAGGCAGCATCAAAACAACTATCAACGTGTCAGGTGAGCGTCGCCACACGACCCGGACACAGAGCGACACTATCACGCCTCCCTTGCCTGGTTCCAACAGGCCCCGAAGCAGCTGTCTCCGCGGCACTGGGATACCTCAACATGATCAAAACAGGCAAGCGCCTACCCGACCAGCCGTCCACATCACCAGCCCCTGGTACGTATTCCAACCAGACACCAACCTGGACCACGCGGGGCCCGCCACGGAAGAAGGGATGACATGGGGCGGCACCAAGCACTTCACGGCCGATGACGTGGGGTGGTGTCGGTGTGTGATTCTGTTACTTGCAAGCCGGTGAAAGAACACAAACCACTTTAACCGAGCCAGGCAGGGAGCCAGCTGGAAGTAGTCGCAGCCTGTATGGCCCGTCGCCCTGCTTCTATCTACAGGTGTTTTGCTCTTATCGGTGTCTACATTTTATGTTGTGGTGTCTCTTCTCTGCCCATCTCTGCTACGCCTTGCCCTTCTCTGGGATGACTTTCGTTCGGATCTCCCACAGGTCTATTGCTTTCAATCGGCGTCTTCTCGTACGTGTGCGTATGGCAAGAGACATGTGAAGAGGTTGTTTAGCTCGATGCCACGCAGAGTATCACTCCGCTTATGCCTGTGTCTCTTTCAATCGTGCACTATACCAGCTCAGCATACGCTGGCACCCTCTCTCTGTCTCACAGACATCGTTCGCAAAGTCCGTTCGCACTAGTGAATGCCGCAAAAACGGAAAGAAACCACTGATGCAGGCGATGACGCAAATGCAACATTTGGCCCTCTTCATGCATGGATGGGGAAAATGTAGGGAGGAAGCAAGGAGAGGACACATCAACCATAGCCAAGAACTATTAGACACATGGCCCCAGCCAGCAAGGATCATGCCCATACATTCAACACCCAAACTTTGTGTGACAGTCTGTTTTAGCTGCCACTTGGCATCACTGCAAGCCACACACAAGTACAAACGCATTTGACCGGCAGCTCAGTCGATTCTTGCACTGTTCTCTGCCTTGCGTACCCATTCATCATCCGATATCGTGTCGCCTGTCGCCGCTGCTGCTGCTGCCGCTGCATAAAGCCAATCAGATATGGATGACGGGTGATGGCGTGCTTGCTTTGTCTATGGTAGACTGGGTACCGGCAGGTCGTTCTGGTGGCGGTAGGCTGCCCGTCTCTCTCAGGTGTGTCAGCAGTTCCACAGACTTTTTCACGGCCCCCTCGGTGCCTGCACATATCAAGGAGAAAAACGATTTCGCATCTCCTTCGATTGACCAATATTTTTCCTATCGATTGACCTTTTATTCTTATTTTCATGTCCCCGGTTTCCCTCCTCTTGGGCACGTCGATCTTCACCGCGACTGTGGCCCACCACCCACACACGCACAAAGAGCAGACACATACATCTTGCTTCCTGCTTCCGAATTGTGCACATATCCTCCGCTTACATTGGCCGCCGATTTATGATTTGGTTGATCGTGTCGCCTCTCCGGCCGAGGATCAGCCCCCTCTCGGTCTGATACAGGAATGAAACCGCCACACACACATGTGTGCACGTATAACTCAGGTATCAGAATGTATTTGCTCACCGGCGAGTTCATCTTGAATTTCTCGCGGACGAGCTTGCCGGGCCTTGGCGGGTTTGCCGGCAGATGGCCGATGACTTCATCGATGCTCTGGCCCGCCGCCAGGGACTTGAGGGTGCGATCAAACTCGTGCATCATCCGGGCGCGCATCTGAAGAGGAGCATCAGAGGCAGAGACATGTGCGTGTGCATTCATCTGTGGCTCCATGCAATCGTCTGTATACCTGCGGCTTCACCGTGTACATGCGGTCGGTCTCTATCGGGTCCTCGACCCACATGTCCTGAAGAGGCAGGGGAACTTCTCGCTCGCATCAAAGCAGGCCGTTTGTCCATTCATTTTGTTGCTGTGTACCTCGGGGTGGTCAGTGTAGTCCGTCTCCCTATCGTCGGCCCTCTGTGATGTCTGCACACGCACATGCCAAATGCCGTGATGTGGTCTCCCCTCTCTCCTTCTCATGTCACCTACACTGGCGCTGTCTGTGTTGATGTATTTCCTCTGTCGTCGGTGTCGCTGCAGGTATTCTTCCTTGGTGACGACGTCGGGGGCCAGGCGGATGGCGACGACGTATTTGCGGAAATCGAACTGCTCCTTGTAGAAACTAAACAAGACAGAATCAAAGGAGAGAAGGTACAGAAGCAGGGTTTTGGGCCGTGTCTCCATCCCTCCCTCCATCTCCCTGTGTGTGCACATGTGAAGCTTATTTACCTAAAAAACTCATACATGAGCTGGGGCAGCTCGAGATTCGCGCCGTTGGCGGCGTAGGGGTTCAGCCGTCGCCTGACACACACACATACATGAGCTCGATAAGTGTCTAAGCGGAAATCCTGTCTACGGCTCAATTCACCTGAATTTCCTTCTTCCCTCCAGCTCCCGTCTTGCCTCCTTGGTCTGCTGGCTGACCTCGTTGTCGCTGTCGCTGTCGTCCATGACGGCGGCCTGCGTGGAGGGGGAGGGAGCAGACGTCTGGCTGCTGGACTGGGTAGCGGGGGAGGGGCCCGGAAGCGATCGATGCGACGACTGTGGGGTGGAGAGCGGGGGCCGTGTCTCCTCAGTGGGTGGGTCCTGGAACCAGACCTGATGGGGTGATATGAGGGAAAAGGATGAACCGTTGCTGGACCTCTCTCTCTTGTGCCTCTTCTGTACATCATGTTCGAGGGCAGCCCGCCTCTTGAAGTCATGTGTGTGCTCCAGGTGCTTGGGCGGCGCCGAGCCGTCTTGAGGCTTCTATAGATTTGGCAGCAGCGGTGGGCTCCTAATGAAGACACACAAACGCACAGCCGAACACCGGTCAAGTTGTACACTCCCTTCTCAGTTGATGCACTTGAATCACCTTGTTTGTGCCCAAAACACCAAGAGCAGCATCCAGACATACTTCGATAAACACCCGCTGCCCGTCTCCGCCAGCGCCCTCACCTTCACCCACATCTTGATGAGCCACCCTGCAGACAAGGCCCGCAGTGGCGCAAACAAGTCAAGGACTTTGCAATCCGCGTGTATATCAGTTTGTTACCCAGCATGTGTACGGCTCTCGACGAATGAAAGTAGGCCCGGAGGAGGTGGGAGTTGTGGATGCCCAAAGGATTGTTGAAAGTAATCTCAACCTTCCCATGGGCATCCCCCTAGCCAGACATGAACGTACACACAGAACACGAGAGGCCACACAATGCATTTATTGTGCTTGTCGGCACTGTATGGTGTGTACATGTCGCAGCGTGCAGCGCACGATGGGAGTTCGCGCGCGACTGATGGGCACCGTCTCCATCTCAAAATTGTAATTCTGACAGGAACCCATACAGACAGACAGACAGACAGACAAAGAGAGAGAGACAAAGAAACAAAGAGACAAAGAGATCCGTGAGCATCCGATGTGGTGTTTCCGCGTCTTGTCTGTTCTATTCTTCTTCCGTCCTTCAGATACTTGTCCACGAGCTCACACGCCCGGCCACGGGGGTCGACGGCTCTCGACCGCTGCCTCTCGTCCATGAGCCTCGCCATCTGCTGTTGGGGGATGGTGGCGACGAGGTCGATGTCGCTGCTCTTCATGGCCAAGTTCTAGACGTATGAGCCGAAGAGGGTGATGTTGGCCGTGTCTAAGACGTGCTTGACGGCCACCCGTACTCGGCCCATCGTCTGTTTAGAGGGAGACAGAGAAATGTGTGTGCCTTCACTCTTATCTTTCACGTACCTCTGCCCAAGCCTGGATCTCCCGATCTCCCAAGGGGTTCCGGCGGTTCGCTGTCAGCGCTTCTTGCTGCATGTCGGCCTGCTTCTGTGTGGGGACCGGGAGAAGGACAGTGCACGGCCGGCTCTGCGTCCACAGCCAAGAATGGGCGATGGATGCCTTTCTTTCAAGCTTTCATTGCCCACCTCTGTCTTCTTGATGCGCTCGAGGTCCTGCAAAGCCGCTTCGAGATCCTCTTTCTGAAGACAAGAAGCACAATTCGTCCTGTGCTGTGCTGGACAGACGTGTCTCTGCCTTTGGCCACTTGTTTGCGAAGAATCGACAGATGCTCGGTGAGCTCGGCGCTCCGCTTGTGTTGCAGCCGCAGGACTGCCATGAAGTTGTCTGCAGCAGACAGGATGTTTGAGCCCCCTACATGTGAATCCGGGTAGCGTGTGCACATACCCTTGTCCGTCGCCCTTGCCCGCTTGTATTCTCTCTTGACGGCCTGGTGGTGCCGCACTGCGGTCTGAAGCCGTCGGACCGCTTCCTCCCTCTCCCTCCGGCCCCTTGTTTGTTGTCTTCTCTGCGATAGAAAAGGCACAGCATGAACAGAGTGCACATGTGTTTGCTTTCATGCATGTGTTTAGTCACTGTCGTTTTTTGTTCGGGCCAGTGCGGCACGTGTGCTGGCTGTTTCTGCACGGAACAGAAGATAGGAACGACGCGTGAAAATCGAAGAGTGCCAGCCGACTGATCTCATCATTTTACCTCCATCTCCCTCTCCACCGCAGGCCTACGCACACACACGCGCGCACACGCGGAGAGAGAAAGAGGGTCGTGGACTCATCGATGTGGATATTCGTGGGCAGGTTTACCCCGAGAGGCCAAGGAAACAGCATATGGCGGGCATCCCGTCTGAATGGGCGACGACAAGAGATGTGTGACTTTGCAGCCTTGCTCATGTGAAAGGACCGTGTCTTTTCGTGGCACACCGTGTGTTTCGTTGCACTCGAATGTCAGATGTTGTAGATCTTGCTGGTTGGGCTCCACAAGGTGCGTTCAATCCTCAACTCAAAAGATCCGCAAATCTAAGCTCGCATGCCGGGGGCCCTGAAACCCCGGGGCCAGCCTCAAACAACGAGGCCAAGTTCACGATGATTCGATTGAAGGCAATACACCGTGCAGTCTATCAACACCGCCCCCATACGCAGAGAGTAGCACGCATCCACACATTCTCATCCACCCAGTGTGAGTCGAGTCACGCATCTATCGCACGATCTCCCCCTCCTGCTTCATGTGCTCCACCTCCCCGTTGCACTGTGGGCACCGCAGCGGCTCGCCCGTCTGCTTTGCCCGGCCACACCAGCCCTCCTTGCATGGGTGGCACAGGCAGATGTGCAGACAGGGGAAGAACCGCCATACGGCATAGGTGTCGTTACCACACACCAGACACTTCGGCTGGCTGAGGTGGCGGGCTTGCTTGGTCGCCGCTGCGAAGATCTGAGCTAGGTTGGTCTGCTGCTGCGTCGCCATGGCCATGAAGGCGTCCAGCTCCTCGGTGCTCTGAGTCTCCAGCAACGCATCCACCGTCAGACTGACACGACAGACACCACGATTACAACACATGCACAGTGAGTGGGTGTGTGGGGCACTCGTTGCTGCTCACTTGGGTCGTTTCTTGACTTCGTTCCGGAGTGCATCGATCTGCCCGATCTGGGCGGCGTAGCTGTCGCGCTCATCCTGACGACGCTGACACTCATCTACCAACCTGCACACACATGGCACCGAGGACAGAGGGATTCTGTGGCGGGTGACTGATTCGGTGTCCCTCTCATCTCCCTTTCCACTCACCGGTCGATCTTGGCCTGCATTTGCTCTACTTGCATGCGATGGACAGCCGCCTCCTGCTCCAGCTGGGCAGACACACTGCACACACCGCATCATAATGAACACCGAGACATCTGTGAAAGCTGGTGGATGTGGATGTCCATGTCACTCAGGCGACTGACCGACCTCGGGGGCTGCTCCTGGCGTTGCAGCAGTTGGTGACGCAGCTGGGCCCGCAAGCTGAAGCCAAAACACGTCCCACTCACACACACATGGATCTGCCGGCGCACACAGCCGTGATGGGTCCTACCGCTGGATGTCTTCATCCCGTTGCTGGCACAACGCCTGCTGCTGCTGCAGCCGCCCGGTCAACCTGCACACAAAAGAGGGCGGAATATGGATGGATGATGGTGCGATCATGTGTGGGACCGATTCCACTGACCCCTGTATGGTGAACTCCTGCTCGCGTATGTGCTGGCCGTGCACCGCCTCGACAGATCGCAACCTGACAGTGGATGAAGAGGCAGACACGTGTGTAAGGATGGGTCAGGTCCCCGTTCCCTGTGTGGCGTGGTTGTCTGACTTACTTGTCCTCCTGTGCGGCAAGGGCATCCCTGAGGGCCTCCTCAACCGCACGCACACGTTTCTCGCACTCCACCTTGGCCTCACGCAACCTACACCCATTGATGCATCCATGACCATGACGGAGCATGTGTGTTGCCAGCCTCTTGTTTGGTGTGGATTGATGGGTGGATGGATGGATGGATGGAGCGTGCCTGCTTGTCTATCTCGCCCTGCAGCTCAGACACCACCCTGCACACAAAACAGAGAGACAAAGCACCTTTTAAATGCACTGCCCAGCCCGTCAGCCCCACGTGCATGTGTGGCCTTTCTGTACCTCTCGTGCAGAGCCCGCGAGACGCCGCCCATGGCCTCTGTCTGGCCGACCTTGGGAGGCGTTTGGTGCTCGCGTGTCGACTCCGATGCCTTGGACGCACACCGCCCCTTGCTGGTGGGGAGGGGGCTGGCCTTCTCGGGCTTGGCAGATGGCTTGGTGGTGTCGGTAGAGCGGGTGTCGGTGGGGGTGAGGGCAGCGAAGGGGTTGTTGAGGAGGGGACTGTCAGACGAGATGTCGTCTTCATCATCAGCAGCAGACACACCCGGTGGGCTGGTCTCCTCCCCGCCGCCGCCCTCCTTACTCCCTCCCTCGCCGCCCCCCACACCACCGTCGCCACCAGCGTGGCCCTTGGGTCTTTTTGGTGTTGTTGTGTTTCTTCCGGCCCCCCGTCCTGCCAGACTTGGCCTTGGCCGCCGCCTGGCGGGCTCGCTCGTCCTTCTCCTTCTCCCTGGCCTCCTCTGCGATGAGCCTCTGCATCATCCGCTCCGCCTCCTTCTCCTTGATGCGCATGGCGGCCGCGCCGTCCTCCTGCTGCTGCTGCTCACGCTGGCTGCTGTGGGATGGTTGGTGACTGTTCTTCTTTCTCCTGGCTGCTGCTGCTGCTTGAGCCGCGTGCACCCCCCTGAGTCACATACAACCAAAGGCAAGATGAGGGACTCAGCCAAAGTGTGTGTGCTATGTCGGTGAAGGGAGAGGTTACTGCAAGGGCAAGAATCGGTAAGGGATGTTGGGGTCGTCAGGGCACTCCTCCACAATCATGTCCGATCCCAGCACAAGGACATACGGATGGGGCAGCTCCAGGATGTTCAGTCTCTGCTGGATGACATTGGACACAGAGCTCGCCTCGAGGACATCGCTACAACTGCTCAACACATACACCTGAGAGAGACAAGGCGACAGAGTAGACAGAGGAGCCGAGTTGAGACGTGATGTGCTGTGCTGTGCTCGCAGACATACCATTCCTGTCTCCATTTGAGTGATTACTGAGGGCCCGTTCAGATCCACACCTGGAACCAAGCCAGCTATCGCCCCCTATTTACACACACGCGCAGAGAGAGAGAGAGGGAGAGATCCAAGCATAGATTCCCCGCCCCCACGCGCATACATGTTGGTCGATGAGGCCGAGGATGAGGGTGGCCTTGGTGCTCCCACTGAAAGGAATGCCGACCCGACAAACGCACAGTCCGTAAGCGATCTTTGGTAGTTCTTTCTTACACGGAGTCTCGCACATAGACGACTCCCATCATTCGTGCTTTGACGCTGGTTTTGCTCAGGTCTATGCCGGGCTTGAGCTCGTTGGTGCCAACCACACGACGACCGCTGCATCCATCCATCCATCCATCCATCCACACACACACGTGTGCGTGTGCATGGCTTCCGTCACTGCCCACTTGCTACGTATGCAGCAACGGGAGCCAGCTGCCACTGCCACTAGCTCCTCAGGAGTCCTTACGAAAGGCATGCAGACAGACAGGGGCACAGACACATCAACCAGACAATCCACGGTGCTGGCCGCTGCACGTACCCCTCACTTACGGCAAATGAGGAATGGCGGGGTCGTCGGGGCACTCCTGGATGGCCGAGAAGGAAGGGAACGCCACCACGTGGTGGTTCGTCATACCTTTCATCTCAGCGCTGGATGGATAGATTGAACAGTGAGTGATGACACACCCACACACCAGACACACAGCGCCACACCTTACCTTGTGTCAGGACAAACGAAGCCTCCATTGAACGCATACACCTACAAATCCCCGACACACACACTGTGCCTGCCTGCCCGCCCGCCTGCCTGCCTGACATAGAGCCCTTACCTTGCCAGTCTGCACGCCAAATGAGGTGGGAATTGTGGCCAAGATGCTGCTGCCCTGTGCGTCGTTGATCACGACGAGCGACTCTTTACCCGAGTCGCCAACGGGAGCCCTGAAATGGGACATAATCCATATGTATGGATGTGCATCTGTAGTTGGTTACTCCCTGCTTTGCGTACTTACACGGCAGTGACGCGGCCCCTGATGGCGCATTCGAAGTCCTTGCAGCCCGAATGCACCTCAGAGATGGGCACAAACCTGACCAGATGAACAAATAGATGACACACAGGCAATGTACCGCCCGGTGAGTGAGCCATCTCACACGCCCTACCTGTCCTTGCTGGACGCAGAGGTCCCCCCACGGCCTCCACTGGTCCCTTGAGCGGTGAACGGCACCTTGCCGCACCCACGTGCTTCGTCGCCCACGTCCTGCCCTCCCGCCACCTCACTTGCTGCCGACGACCTACGCGGATCGTGAAGGGGTGAGAAGGAACCATAGGCAAATACATATCCACCACATCCCCCCACCCCTCCCCCTCCCTACCTGTATGTGTTGCCTGTCGCTGCACTGGCAGCGCCGCTGCTACTGCTACTGCTCCTGCTGCTGCTGCTGGTGGTGGTGCTGGTAGTAGTGGCGGTGCTGCTTGCTGCCCCGTTGGTCTGTTTGGCGGTGTAGGAGGGGGTGGGTGTGGGTGTGGGGGAGGGGGTATTGGTGTCGGGGGTGAAGTTGGATGCGAAGTCCGGGATGAACATGCCGCCGATCTGGACACTGGTCATGACGTTGCCCATGTTGGAAGAGTTGAGCGAATTGAGTAACTGCTGCACCTCACCCAGGTCGCTACTGGCCACACACACACACACGTGCAAACACGTTCGTGCATTCCTGCACAAGGGTGTGTGTACCTGACTGACGGGAATAGAAACTGAGCTTTCGGCATGGCTGGGTCGTCGTCACACACGGAGATCTTGCTGCCGGCACCAAACAGCAGCACACACCGGTGCGAGCACGTCCCCCGCCACGCCTTCAGCTGGGGAACACTGCAAAGAGCGCCAAAATTGGTGGGGTGCGCCAGATGGAACGACACACAGACAGACATACATGAGCGCATGTGCGTTAGCCACCCCCCCCCTACACACCTGTCCGAGGGCAGCCCGTTGCCTCCTTCCATCCGGTACACCTGCACCACACAAAGTGGTGTTGTGTTTGCACACACGGCAATTATGTTAATGTGTGTGTCTGGTGGATGGCACGGCTCGCTGTAGTGACTGACCTTGCCCGCGGCTCCGTCAAACGTACTCGGCAGCAGCACCGGGATGGTGTTCTGGACAGAGGCGTGCCAACGAGTCGTTAGTTGCTTAGATGCATTCCTCCCTCCGTCCGTTGCCACACGTCAATAGGTGTGTGTGCTGACTTACATGGCCGTCTCCAATCATCCAGGCAGCGTGTGCGGGATAGCCCTCAACAGACGAACACAGCCTGACATATATTCACAAGAGAGAATGACCATCGACGCAGTGTGGTGGTTTGGGTGTGATCAGCGAGCGGCCCTGACGGCTTACTTGAAGAGAAGTCGCGCCTTGACGGCGATGTCAGCCGCGCCGGGGACAATGTCGCTGATACGAACCACACGGCTTTAAACACCACACACACATAGATAGATACCCACTCACTCCCACATGTGGATGTTGCAGAGGCGATTGCTTCATCCCTCACCGCTGCTGCGTCGGTGCGCTGCCGACGCGTTCGTACTCCTGTATGTCCAGCACGTCAGAGCCCACCGAGCTGCACACACGATACATACGCACACACATGGATACATACCATCGACAGACAGAATGTCACGCGTCCGTGTGCTGTGCGGTGATCTTCTTCCTTCTCGCACAACATGCATTGCATCTCACAATTGTTTGGTGCACTTGGTGACACGTATGATGTCGCGCTTCTTGACCGGGCCACACTTGTCCACCACAGCCTGCCGCAACCGAGCAGCGACCGAGTCTGAGCCGTCCGGCCGGTCACTCACACGCACATCCCTACACCTGCAGCGACAAACGGACCTCTTGAGCGATCCGATGGCTGGTGCATGATTTGATGGCCTCCTTCCATACCATACCGTTGGGCCCGACACATGCGATGAGGAGCATGCCTTCGGTGCGGCTGCCCTCGAGCATCGCCTTCACCGTGCCATGCACCAACGAAGGGGATGCAGCCATGGCGATGAGTGGGATGGGCCAGATCTCCTCAAAATACCATCAAAACAAGCCTCCAGGACTCCAGGAACGAGCCCTAAAGAAAACCTCGTGAAACCGATTAATCGGTGTCGAGTCTTCTTCTCGGGGAGCTTCTGCGAGGCAGGCCACCTATCAGGAGCTGTCCTGAAGACCGATTGAGTCGATAAGTCGATAGATAAGTCGATAACCGATACCCAAGCCACACACACGAGATATGTCGTTGCCATACGCCTCGCCGGCCTCACAGCCGCTCACCGGTGTGTATCACAGCCTGGACGACACGTTGCGGGTGGAAATCAGACACTCCTTCATCAAAAAGGTCGGAGAGAACAAGAGAGTGGCACGGCAGCAAAGGCATCACGGCGTTGTTCATCTTTGTGTATGTTCCTGCAGGTCTATGGCATATTGGCGGCGCAGCTGGCCGTCACCTTCGTGCTGGCGGCCTCCCTGACCAGTGCTGCGGCCCTTGCATGGCTCCAATCCCACCCCGCCATCCTGTTCATGGCCATAGTTGTGCAGCTGGGCCTCTGCATCAGCTTCATGTGCTGCCCACACCTGCTCAGACAGTAAGAAAGACAGACACACATGCATGGCGCGCCATGCACTCACTCTGTTGGTGACCAAACAGGTATCCGACCAACTACATCCTTCTGGGCCTCTTCACCGTCGCCGAAGGGTTCCTTATCGGTGTGTGTAGTGAGAGAGACGAGGGAGGGAACACAAACCAGGCGGCAAGCGTGTGTTGTGTGTGGTGCGTGGCGTGCAGGTGTGGTGTGTGCGGTGAGCGATCCCGCCATTGTGCTGGTGGCGCTGAGCCTGACGCTGGGCATAGTCATCGGACTCACCCTCTTCGCATTCCAGACCAAGTCAACCAGCCAGCCAGCCACACATATACACTATCGAGAAATCTGTATTTGTGCGTGCGTGTGTGTGCGTGTGCGATGTGTCTTCAGATACGACTTCACGTCGTGGGCGCCGTACCTGTTTGTGGTGGCGCTTGGGTTCTTCCTGACGGGTCTGATGATGGGCATCATGGGCATGTTTGGGGTGCACATCAAGCTGCTCCACATCCTCTACTGCGGCTTCGGTGTCATCCTATTCTCGATCTACCTCGTTTTCGACACACAGGTGAGTGAGGTGACCCACCAGCCAGCCAGCCAGCGGAAGGAGCATCCCGGCTGCATATATGCTGTGTCTGTCTGTGTGGCTCAGATGATCGTGGGTGCCAAGCACGCCAGATTTGAGTTCTCGGTGGACGACTACTGCTTTGCGGCTCTGATGCTCTACATCGACATCATCCAGGTTCCTCATGACACACACACGCACACACACACACATACGCAGGAGAACTGATACGCAGAGACGTGCGTCTTTCTGTTGTCTTGTGTGTCAGATATTCCTCTACTTGCTCCGCCTCCTCCAAATGCTCAGGAGCTCAGACTGACACACACCAAGCCGGCCGCATAGCAAACAGACAGACATACAAACGTACGGCAGAAGCTTTGCGGATTTCTCAATGTGAAGCAACACGTGCCTTCGTGTTCATGTTGTATTGGCGGCTAGCGTAGCCAGGGAGGGATGGATTCGGCGGGGCGGGGCGGGGGGGGCGGGATCGGCCTGTGCATAGTTTTTCAAGACAGCCAGCCTCCTGTGAATATGTGTGCATTGGTACGTACGTGTCATCCGTCCCATCCTTCAGTGTGTGCACTTGACGTCGAGTGTGCGGCGCTGCTGCTACTGAATGCACGTCCACTGAGTCTCAGCGGACGGCGATTCCGTCGCAGCGGCACGCCATGCCCGACGTCAAAGGCACACAACGTGCAGAGCAGTCGTGTGCTACTGCTTGAGTAAAGGGTATTTTTAGCCGTCTGTGTGTCTGTCTATATGGGACGGATTTGCTCGCGAGTGATTCACGTGGATTATGCCCCCGAAACGGAGTATGTTTACGCATGTGAACAAGCGATCCGCCGACCCAGCGGATCACATGGCGTCCCCGCCGGCTTCTCAGGCCCGGCGGTCGTCCATAGGCGCAAATAGCTGTGGGATTTGCTGCGAGGAGTACTCCGTCGACGGCGCACACCAGCCGCAGATGCTCAAATGCGGTCAGGGAAGATGCGTGAGAACATGGAGGCAAAGCTGACCATGTTTCCTCGTGCGTGCAGGCCACACCTTCTGCAAAGAGGTGGGATGGATGGATGGATGGACGGACGGATGGCAAAGAGATCTCTGTGTGTCCTCTCATGTTGTCTTCCTCAGTGTGTGGATCAGCTGGTCAAGAGCCATCGTCATGGTCTGCCTAGCGCCACATGCCCCACATGCAGGTCAGCCAACGTCTCACGGATCCACACGCACACACCACTCCATGTATCAATGGCATCGTGCATCTGCACAGGAAGGAGACCCCCGCTTCAGATCTCGTCAAGAACTACGCCGTCATCAAAATGCTCGAGGCCGACCGTGCGCGCCACGACAGGGAGAGGGAGCGGAGGAAGAAGCTGCAGGAGCAGCTCGACGCACTCAAGCGGCAGGTGGCCGAGGAGAAGATCCAGCGGGCACAAACGTGTGTGTGCGCGCGTGTGTGTGTATGGCACCTGTTACCGCCCATCGATCTGTTTGAGTACTTCATAGTGGACCTCGAAAGAGTACACACTGAAATTACGCCAAACCTGCTACGTGTTCAGGTCACGCGCATACACATGCACCACATCACCCACACACATGCAGTCACGGTGGATGGGTTCCTTACGCATTGGTGTGCCTCAGCGAGTGACGTCTGACTCATCAACGGGGCCCAGCGTGTTTGGCGAACAGCACATACGTCTAGCTGATGAAAGGATGAGTGCATTCATCCATCCGTCCAGCCACCCATCCACCCATCCACCCATCCACACAGACAAACATCCACCCCCCTCCCTCTCTGCACGGACGCCCGCTCCGACGCTGCTGTGCAAAGGCTCGAGACACCACTCAGGAACAGGTCCATGAAGCTCATCTACCGGTGGGCAGTCGACAACGTGGTGTAGGCGCAGCCAATGACTGACATGTTTGTCTCTTCTCTCTGTGTGTGGGGGGTGGGGTGTGGACACAGTGCGAGTCGTGATGGGTGGGGGTATCGTGACCTGGTGGCCAAGGTCGGCGCCAGGAGGAGCGGCGGGTACGTCTTCCTCATGTGCAAGAACCAGTACCAGTTCGGCGTCTGTCTGCCCGATGGCGACCTCAAGTAGGGCGGCACTTCCTACGGCTGCAGCATGTGGTTCTTCGCACTCGACGGCGTGTTCTCCCTGCCCGTCCGCATCGACATCCCCCCGTGCGACCAGCAGATGGCGGCGGCGGCCAGGGGCGGGACAGTGAGAGGGTACGCTCGACCCATGCCATGAAAGACAGACAGAAAGATGCGTCCCTCTCCCACTGTGTGCCCTTTTTTTGCCTTTCCCTTGCAGGTGTGCGCGTCTGTCGTTTGGGAGTGGGTACCTCTACTTGGGGCATGGTGGCATGAATGGTGCGGCGGCCGACCTGTCGTACTGCCTGCAGTCGATGTTCCCCGCCCTGCCTGTCGGCCTCTTCACGCTCGACGAGCTGGAGGTGCTGCACATCGAGTAGGGGGTGGTGGGGTGGGAGGGGACAGTGTCATGACATTGTATAGGAGGGGGACCCCTGTGGGCGTGTGTGTGTGTGTGTGTGTGTGCACATTCTCATCAAGGTGGGCCCAACGGATGGACGCAGTGCGAGCGTGTCGATGAATAAATGGGAGCGAAAAGGCCAAGACTGTTTCACGCACTTGCTGACGCTTCAAACGGACCCTCAATACTGTCATAAACCATCCTTTCTCTCCGACTTCGATCGGGCTCCAAGGGCTCATTTGCGAGCTTTGCCCCCCAAAAAAAACGCCGAGTCCCCTCCTCCGCTGCTGTCAATGGCCTTCTTCCTTGCTGGTCGGCGGCAGACGCAGGGGCTGCCCAGGACCAATCTGTTTCAGGTGCCCCAACGGACAGAGCTGCTGAGATGGAACTCACACGCAGACCTCGCCCAAACCCACCCCTCACCAGCCACCAAAGACGGCCGGCCGTCAGTGCGCAGGGGCCCTGGCAACGGAGTGAGCACCCAGACGGCCCTGCTGATGGCCGGCATGAACAAACAGCACCGCCAACGGCTGACCAAGAAGAGGACATTCCTTCTCTCTGATGGGCGGAAGTCTGCTGAGGATCTGGAGGCCGTGTTGAGGGACCACCACCAGAGAGAGGTTAGGGGCAGGACGGTGCGAGACAAAAAGAAGCGGGCCGGTGATCAGGGGTTGGGCAAGAGAACCGACAAGGGGGAGGTGAGGCGAGTCGGCCACAAAAGGAGGCTGGATGACTGTTATCGAAAGCGGGACGAGCACCTGCAGCTGTTCGACGGTATGCCGATGCACCACATGATTGAGTCTCCCCTCACTTGTTTGCAATGCATGTTGTGTTGTTGTTTCAGAGACGCGTGTGTGCCTCCGCGAGTGGCGCGATGAGATCCGCTATGAGCGTGCGGCGGCGCACCGGTTCATGCGTGAGCTGCACGTGTGGCAGGGGAGGGCCTTTGAGTGGATCATCGACGACAGACAGCTCTCACAGGCGCTCGAGTCGCCGAGGGGCGAGCCCCTTGTCAGCCCCTACTTCGTGCTGCGGAAGGTGAGCATCCCAACCAAGAAAATCAATTTCTTCTCCTCTGTCTGTGTGATCTTTGTGTCTGTCCTGTTCCTTCCTTCATTGCCTGCAGGCTCCTCGCCTGCCTCTCCGTCTGGTGTTCTTCCCTAATGGCGACGTCGAGTCGGGCACCAACAAGGTGAGCATCCACCCATCCACGTGCATCGGTCCTTTGGACACTCAGACATGCAGAGAGGCTTTCTGCGACCAATGTTTGTGTGCGCAGTGTGCCCTTTACGTCGAGTACACGCCTCGTCAGTGTCTGCTCCCTCAGTCCATCCACTGCGACGGCATCTACCTGCCCCTCGAAGACGCGCTTATCTACCACTCCATCTCATGCAGAACGACACACAAGACCACTGACGAGTCAGGCAGCCCTGCGTGTGCAGGGCCTGCAGCTGCTGCTGGTGGTGTGTGTGATGGTGGTTGGCCGTTGGTGGGTCCGCTGGATTTGTGGGTGTGTGTGGGCGACGTGGTGAGGGGGCCGGTGAGCTTGTGTGGGGGTATGCACTTCGACGGATGGATGGACTTCTGTAGCAAGAGAAGCGTCGTTCGATTTGTGCAGGAGGCGGGATATCTCGCTATCAGGTGTCAGGTGGAGTGACCGACCGATTTCTTACCTAGCCGATGGATGGTGTCTGTCTGTCTGTCTCTTGCTCTGTTCTTGCTGGAAGCTCTAATAGATACATGTACACAACACATACATACATGTATACTGATTCACTCATCGAGCGCCGCGCCATCTGTGCGCTCTCTCTGTTGGTCTCATTTCTCGCTGTGAGTGAGTATACCCCCTACACACCGGTCAGTCAATCGACACCTACTTCCTTCCATGCATCTGTCTGTGCGTGTCGGCTTCGTTCCGCTCGGTAAACTGCCTGTCAGGTCTCATTGCACTGGTGCGAATACATAAACATACATAACATACAGACATACACGCATACATACATGTGACACCCACTGGTCGGCCTTTTGCCTCTGGAAGACCTTGGGTGAACTAAAGACCTTGAAGGAAGAAGCTCAGTGTGTGCTCGTGAGTCCGCGTGGATATTGGTGTGAAGGCCGCCCGCCCGTCCGCCGTATGTCATAGAGTATGACTCCCCCATCCGCTCATCCATCCATCCACGCCAGGTAGGTCACACACGGCACACACGTCACCACACCACACCACACCACACCACGTCTCAGCTTTAGCTCTGCATGCATACAGACATACGAGACGGAGGGAGAGGGAGGGAGGGAGGGAGGTGAAAGATGGCCCGGCCGAGAGACGCGAAAAAACGTATGCGATTACAAAACCTGTGAAGATGGTGTGGATGGATGGATAGATAATGTCCCACAAGCTAAGCTAATCAGCCATACCTTCCTGCCAGCCTATTCCAGTTCCCCTCCCCTCCACCCACCTAGGCAAAACCCTAGCAAAAGGTCCTACGCAGCAAACCAGCCAACCGGTCAGCCAACCTAATGTTAAGTGGTCCCCCTCTCTCTCTCCCCTCTCTCTCTCTCTCCCTCTCTCTCTCTCTCTCTCTCTCCCCTTCCCTGTCTCGCTAGTGATCTGTTTATTTGGTACGGTCAAGGCCGACAGTTTCGGCCTTGAGCTGTTGAAACTCCTCCAGCCAGCACTTGGCGAGCAGGTCAGGCCGCCTCAGTGCGTGTGTGTCGGCCTGCACAGCGACCAGCATGTGGTCGTGGTAGCTGAACACCGCCAGGCCGACCCCGACCTTACAACCCAATAAAGGCAGACACAGACAGAAGAGAGGTGAGTGACATAAGGGCGTTTTGTGGATGCCTAGCCTAGCAGATAGTGCTATGTGTGTGTATGTACCTCGTATGGTATGGGGACGAAGAAGAATAGGTCATAGACGGGAAGGCCGCCGAAGACCCTCTGGGTGGTGGGGCCCGGCACGTTCGTCATCACACAACTGATCTGCACGCACACACACACACACGAAGGCCACACGGCACACATCTGCCATTGTATGTGCCCCCTTGGTTGCTTGTCTTGTAAGTGTGTCTGTCCTGACTGACCTTGCGGGTGAATCGCTTGAAGATGGCGCAGAAGACCCATCCCGGGAAGGCGTACATTAAAATCTCAAAGGCCATGAAGGCCGGCAGCAGCACACCCGAATACACCTTCCCCGCCGCCCTCTGCTCCTCCTCGCTCATCCGCCTCCACCCCTTCCCCTTCGCCCGCAGCCTCTTGGCGCACCCAAGGATGTCCAGCCAGCCACTGGTCTCTGTGGCCCTCGTCCCCCCTGCTTTGCCCGACCCCTCCTTGTATTTCGCCATCTGTGCCGTCACGCGACACAGCCGCTCGACCGAAGACGACTCCACACATGTGGGGAAGGGCAGTATTCCCCCTCCGTACACGTTGCGCAGCCCGTCGCCTGTCTGGCCCGCCTTGCGCTTGTTGACGGCCACCAGCAGGCGCATCTCGTCCTGCAGCCGGACAGGCTTGGGGTCGGTGCTGCGGGCGAACCACGACCGTCTCCCGGGGCTCAATGCGGCCTTGTCGCTGCTGTCGCCCGTCCGTGTGGAGACCGACTCGTTGCTCATGGAGGGGAAGAACAGCGGCAGGCAGAAGGGGAAGCCGCGATTGGCGCTGCCGTCGGTGGTGCTGGCCCGGTGTGGCGACCGCTGGAGGGGCGTCCTCTCGGGGCTCAGGCAGCTCCGCAGCGACGACAGGAAGCTGGGCCGACTTCTGTCGTGAGGATGGTGCCTCGCCGGGCAGGGGGCGAAGAGCGCCGACCTCAGGCTGGGCAGCGACCGGCTCGTGCGGATGGTGTCCTTGCGTGTGTGTGAGGCGGCCACGGGGGTGGTGCATCCTTGAGGGGTCAAGGTGCCGTAGGACGGCGCCATGACGGCCGTTGGTTCGCTCAGCGGGGGGAAGGCCATCGGGGACGAAACAGCCGAGCCCAGCTGAGGGGCGTTGACACTCGATGATGACGCCTCATTGGTGGACTTGGGAGAGGCGGCCGTGAGCGGTGTGGCGAGGGAGGGCAGGCGTGAGACGTCCAGGGTCTCTCCGGTGCCTGTCGAGTCAGCGACCGAGCCCCTGCGGAGGTCGCCGTCCATGAGTGTGGGGGTGGTGACTGGCGTGTCGGTGGTGAGATAGCTGCCCGGCCTGGGCCGTCGCTCTCCGCTGCCAGAGTGGTTGATGGTGTCCTCCTGCTGCTGTTGGTGCTGTGCATATCGAGTGTAGGCGCCGACGAGGCAGGCCGTCATGACGTCGTTGACTGTCATGGACTGGGAGCCCCATGAGCGGCCGGCGACTGGAGGGACATACACAGGGGACTTTGGCTCGTCGGGCGACTTGGGCTCCTCGTCGCTGCTCGTCGTCCCGGTCGTCTCGCGAGAATAAATGGGTCCCTTCCGCTGCCGCGTGCCGCACCCAAAGAGGGACTCGCGGCACCTCTTCTTCTTGTCGTCGTCTCCCTTGCCGCTCTTCCACTGCTCATGCTGGCCGCTGTTGAAGTAGTCCTTGATGGACTTGACCTCCTGCAGGCTCACTCGCACCGGCAGACTCACACGCCGCTGATTGGACGCTAGCGGCCGGCGCATCGACGGCGCATCCCAGGACCGCTCCACAGGCCATGTGCAGCTCTGCAGCAGCAGGGACGGCGCCCGCCACAGACGCAGAAGTGGGCGGATGCGGCTGAGGAGCGAGGGCCCTCGGCGTTTCATGGCTGGGCGGGATGGTGCTGGGGAGGGGGAGGGCGAGATGTCGGGGGAGGGGACCAGGGAGGGGCTCATGATGGAGGGAGGGTCCAGCAGGTCGTTCGTGTGGATCTCAACCAGAGCTGCCAAAGCAAAAGGGGATGGATGACCGACAAATAGTCAATCCGTAGAGCGTTCAATTCGATGCAAAGCAGGTGTGGTTGTTTCTTGTCTCCCTCCCTTACCTATTCCGTCAGCGAGTGTGTGGTGGTATCTGGCAATTAGCACGGTAAAGGGGCCCCTGAACACGCCATCACTGGTCTGGTCCTCACCAGGGGCTGAGGAGTGGTCAGCGTAGGCGAACAGCGGGTCATCGAGCATCACATTCTCTAGCACATGCAGCCGCCTGCACCCACAAGAAGGCAATGACGCATGCCATCTCCCTCGCTCGCTCGCTCGCTCCCTCCCTCCCTCCCTCCCTCCCTCCCTCCCTCGACCCTTCCTTGTGTGTCTCACGCACCACGGGGGGTGTTCCTTGTGCAGAGGCTTGTTGTTGACCTCAGCGACGAATGCCTCGAGGTCTCCCCGCTTCACCACCCGGTGGGGCCCCCCGCCGCGCACCACCTCATCCAAGGGCACAGCGCTCACGTGGTAGTCGATATCGACGTCATCCTGCGGCACCCAGCAGTACCGCCACAGCTGACGCTCCACGCGACACCGCAGCCTCGGGTGCTTGAGCACCACCCTTTCCTCGTCGCCCGACGATGGGCCGTCGGCGGCCGTGGTGGCATTGAGCCACCGGTCGGTGACGAGCTTCTGGATCTCCTTGTGAGGGACGTTGCCGCAGATGAAGCAGCCCGTGATAATGAAGTGCGGCTGCCGCCACAGGTAGTCCTCCTGCCCGTCGAGAGGGATGCGGTCTGTTGGCGGCGGTGGGACGCCATTGCCATTGCTGCTGTCGCTCTGCTGCCCTCTCTTGTTGCTGCTCCTTGTCCGTGCATTCCTGCGGCAGATGAGGAGCGAGTACAGCTTGTTGACAACGGCCCTCGCGACAAAGAAGAACGTCAGCGGTCCCGTGAAGATGCTGATGGCGGCGATGAGGACGGTGATGTCCCAGACGAGTGTGAAACAGCGAAACAAACCCATCGGTGCACGAGGGCGGGCTGAATCAGCAAGTGGGATTCGCAGACACAAATTGGTCACACTGATAATGCATGTCGGTGCATCTCACGATCGTACAATAGCGAGACGGTCTGGAGAGCGAAGGTCTCGCGAGAGAAGGTCTGTATCTCTATCCTCCGTGAAACGAACACGTAGCTCGCAGGGCCACGCCCCGGATTTGCGCCTCGCAGCAAGATGGTCTGATAGCCGATAGCCTCGGCCTTCCCCGCCCTCCCTTGCGGTGGCGATGGAGTCGCCGAGCAAGCGGCGGAGGCTGAGCTGTGCGGAGGTGAGAGGGGGCGCGGGACAGCCCGCGTGATGCACGACGTGCATCCACAGCATGTGATCTTGTCGTGTGTGGGTGTGGATTTGATTGTGGTTCAGCTGGAGTCCATCGCCAGCGTGATGGCGGGTGTGAGGGGCAGGTATGAGCACGTCCTCGACAAGATCAACGCGCTGGACCGACAGGTAAGGGGCAGCCGAGACATGAGCACCGAAGAGTGAGTGATCCCTAGTGCATGTGTGTGGATCTGTGTGCAATCAGGCCAGCGAGGCGTTGACGCTCAGGGAGAGCCAGGAGCGGACACTGGGCAAAGACATGTGCCCCAACGTAGCTAAGGTAACGGACCGACATGACGACACACCGGCAGCTTCCTGACCGTTGCCTCCGTGCCTCTCCCTCCTGGTGTGCATGTGCGTGTCTGTGCAGATGGTGTGTCTGGATTACGAGAGGTTCAAAGTCCTGCTGTCCAAGATAGGACCAGCCGACAACGTCACGCCCAGCACCCAGGACATCCTCATCAATATCGCCCAGCAGAAACTCTCTGCCATGACACACAACCTACACCTAGATGTAAGCACGGTCACAAACTGACAGCCGCCCACGTATCTAGACAGGGAGGAGGCAGCATTCATCCCTTGTGTGTGCGTGTGTGATGTTTTCTGTTCAGTCCTTGGCGCCGTCGCTGCTCACCCTCCCTGACGCGCTCCTGTTTGACCGACTCGGCCCCCTCCTCGGCACCGAGTCCGTCATCGGCGGCCTCTCGCGGGCCCACTCGTCCTTCCTGGGCCCCTCCCACGACCCCGACATGCACACCACCGTCACCTTCATGGCCGACCGCGCCATCGACCTGACCGACGGGCAGCTGGAGGCGTGGCGGCCCCGGCTGGCCAAGACCAAGGGGGCGGTGCTGCGTTGTCACATGAACATGGGGATGGTGCGACTCCTGGAGGGCATGAGGGACAGCCTCGAGAGTCTGGAAGCCGACAGCCACAGCGCGCAGGAGCACGAGCTAGAGGGTGTGGACGGATGGGGGGCGGCGTTCCCTCTTTTGGAGACGGTAGTGGTGGGCGGGCGATGGGGGTGGGTCTCATATCTGCGGGCCTGGGGACTCGGGTGAGTGACGAACAACACAACACACACCCAAAGTCCCAGACACCCACCACACCACCTACCCCTGCCTGTCGTGTGAGGCAGGTCGCTCGAGTGTGTCGAGTTGCGCAAGCTGAGCACGGAGGAGCAGACGGCCCACGACAACGAATTTATGGCTTACGACACATGGTATGGGCGCGACTGGCTGCAGGAGCACGACGGCGTACGCACCCTCACCCTCTCGCCCCCATTCGCGTGGGATGCGCGTGAGGCGATGATGCTTGTCGAGCGGACGAGCGTCGACACGGTGAAGAGCTTCAGCGTGACGGCGGACGAGCCGGACCTAGAGGGGTGGGTTAACTATAAGGTCGGGAGGACCTATAATGACATGGAAGTGGAGCCGCTAAGGTCGCTCGAGGACATCGAGGCCACCATCAATGCCAAACAGATCACCCCAAGCATCATATCGGTGAGAGACCAATGCGCGTACACACAAGGGAGTGGTCATTTGCACCCTGTCCGTTGCCTGTGGTGTCACACAGTCACTGAACGCGGTCCACAAGTACTGTGTGGACCCTGAGGGCAATGAGGACTACAGCAGCAGCACATTCGACTTCCCCTTCGCCATCCTCTGGCCCGCACAGCCCGGCAGCCCCATCCGCAACATCTACGACGACGAGAGCCCCGCATTCGCGTCATCCACCCTCACCCTGGCGGCCTCGCTCGCCACATCGGTGACCTTCCCCACCAGCCTCGCACAAGACAACATCATCCAGGCCTTCTACTCCCTGCTGCCCAAGCTGGTCTTCACATCAGCCCGCACCCTCACCCTGCAGAAGGCCAGGGACACCAACAACCCCCTCCCACAGCCACTGCTCTTCAACCTCGGCCGCGTCTTCCCATCGGTGCGGTCCATCGACATGGGCAGGGCGCGGCAGCTGGGCGAGGAGGCCGTCGTCAAGGCGATAGACGACCTCCCATCGCTGCGAATTTTGCGCTTCGCACGGCAGCCCTCTTTTCATGGGAAGCCGTTTTTCCTTCCATCGTACTTGAGGAACTGTGCCGGTGCTGGCCCACTGCTGCACATCAAGTGTGCGTTCTACACGGGTATGAATGGCAGTGAGGATTGGTCGGTGTGGGAGGGGCAGCCAGATGAGGGCGGTGAGGATGGGGCGGGTGGGGCGGATAGCGGCAGCAAGATGGATATGGATGTGTCGTTGGGGGAGGCAGAGGGCGACAAGGGCAGCAGCAACAAGGGCAAGGGCATAGAGCGCCGCATCCGGCACATCAGCGTGTTTTTCGCTACCCCACTCTTCTGGGGTGCTGCGGAAGCCGGTGTGGGAGATGGGGAGCTGGGGCGGGGAGGGAGATGGGGAGTGAGATGGGAGGCAGATGGATGGAGATGGCGTGTTTTTCGCTACTTCGCTGCAGAGGGCGGAGAGGGAGGTGAGGAGGGAGAGGAAGACGAGGAATGGGAGGCAGACAAACCCGAAATGCTAGTCTGGTCTCGGCTGTTTCGCACATGCGTCAAGGCCATCGCCACTCTGCCCAAGCTAGATTACATCACACTCACCACCGACGATACACTCCCTGTCGAGTCGCTGCACGAGGATGGGGAGGCAGGCGTAGCCGAGCGGCTGAGCCCTCACGGGTTCGCCGCTGTGCAGACAGGACCCTGTAGCGTTGAGCTGTATCGGAAGGGGCTGCCCGTCACGGCGGGCCAGCGACTGATCACTGACTACTTCTCGCCTATCTGTGTCGATAATAGCAACGGGATGGAGTGAGACCGTCGTCAGATTAGTGGTGCCGGCGTTTCCTCTGTACCTTGATGATGTCATCAGTCTCGTTTCTGGCGATTCCATCGGCCATGAGCGATCCCGATGGCATTCGATGAGGTGCAGGGGAGCGCATTTGGCCCACTCATGTGCCTTACTGACTTGACGGTTACATGAGTCACTCACTGATCATCAGAGAGCTGGGGGCACACGGATGTGGTGTACAGATTGACTCGTGCTTCCGTGTGCGCCTGCTTTATCCATATCTCTCTCCTTGTGTTGTGTCTGGCTGGAGCGCACTGTTTCTTCTCCATCTCCTCTCTCTCGAGCTCGCCTGTCGTCCTCTCTCTCGAGCCTGTCTCTGAGTCTGTCTGCCTGGTCACTGACTGTGTGTGTGGTCGTGGCGTTCAAACCGAAACAGCGGCAGTCCCCACAAGTGTCCATCCGCTGTCTCAGAAGCACTGGACACCCTACACACACACACACACACACACGCAGAGCCACCCATCCACCCCCTCAGCACATCACACAGACACCTTTTCCGTGTCTGACGACTGACTGATTGTACGGTACGACAGCACTTTTTTCTACCTGCCTCTCTCTCGCCCTCTCTGTGTTGGCTGCCGTCCCCTGCCAACGCAGAGTCTCGTAGCTGCTCACTCGGCGCTGTTTTGCCTCTCCTTTCCCTCTGGTGAGCTGAGCTGTGACGTTTTCGTGTGCGCCGCTTGTCTGCCAAGAAGTGGCGCACACTCGCCGGTCCGGATCTTCCTGGTGTCATGTCTGCATGGATCATCTGTCCCCGAGGGCCGCCGATTCTCTCACTCAGTCACCTGCTGTGCTGCTGCTGAGAGATGTGTGCTCGGTGTGCTGTCTTGGGTGGGATGATCCATGCAGATATCCCGCCAGCACCGGACTCGAGTGGCCATGGCCGCTGGGGGTTTAGAAAACCCTCGCGGCCGGCGGTCTGCGGTGACGTGCGACCTCGTCGTCGTGGGCCGTTCGAGAGAGCCAGGCAGGCAACTCACACAGCTTGGAATCGAATCACGCAGCGGTGGTGCTGCATTGGCAGGGTGGGCTCGTCTCATCCGCGGTACCACTGTGGGGATCACTTACTGGCTGGCTGTATGGTCGTACGTATGAGGGAGAGGGAGTGGTGGTCGGGGTGTGTGTGTGGGTGTAGGGGGGACGTTCAAATGGCGCGGGCTTTGTTGTGTGTCCGCATACAGACACGTCCATGCATGCGCCAATGTCGGGCGGCAGCCACGGTCAAGGCCCATCCGCGGTCTGGGGAGCAAGGGGCCACCACACACACACACACACACACACATCCAGGCATGGCCAGACAGACACACAGACAGACAGACAGACAGGGGCTCTCTTCTTCTCTCTATCCTCCGTGCGTTTGATCTTCTGACTTGACCCGACTCGATGTATGCTGTCTGTTTGTCTGTCCTGTTCTGTGCAGTCAGTCACGTGTTTGTCCATCTGTTTGTCCATGGATGTGGGATGCTCCGTGATGATCTGCTGGTCGACAAGCCGGGATACTCATCTTTGTAGATTCTTTGCGCAGTGGTGTTGTTGTTCTTTCTGGCTTTGACTCGCTCCCTCGCGATGGAGATGGTGCACTCTCGTCGATCGAGTGCATCGTCACCATCGCGAAGCAGCGAGTTGAGGACACAAAGACACACCAAGGTGCAGCTCTTGGATATGGTATTATGACCTACCGGCCAGAAGAAAGGAGGACAATACCTTCAACGGATGCTCGCCATGCACTGGGGGGCCGGCCCCCTCCGTTCTGTCCCGGCCGCCGTCACAGCCCGCGTCTTACGGTCTTCTTACGACACATTACAGGGCAAATCTCTCAGCTGCCGCACAGCTGTTGTACACATGAGAAATCGGCCGGCGATGCCCATGATGATTTCCTTCTCTTGGCTCCCTCTTGCACTCCTCCTGTACCACTGTGAGGCTCACAGATGGGAAGGGGGCAGGTGCATCACCCCTGTTGGCTCCTGCTGCACCTGTTCTGTTCAGGCCGGCGTGCATGGACCTCCGAAGCCACCCCGGGCCGCTCTCTGGGGAAACAGTCACCTCAGGCAACGAAGAGCCTCAAAGCCACTGCAGGTGGGAAACTGCTCAGTTCCTTGTGCATTGTTCCTCACGTGCTCTGTTGCAGGCCCCATAAGTCGGGGCGCCGTTCGCCTGTTTTCTCCCCCCTCTGTGCAGCACCCGATGAGCACACTCAGCGTTCCTTCTCGACGGAGAAGTTTCACGAGCAGAGCCGCCGACAAGAGGACACAGCCCCTCGCCAGCGCCGTTCAGATGAGGCGACCTCCCGTGGAGAGGACGGGGGAAGGAGGCCCTAATATTGATGAGGACACAGCGGCTCTTCCGGCCAGCCTCATCGACGAAATGTCCGCCGGCCTGCGCGAGAAGGCTCTCTCCTGGCTGCAGCACAGGGAGGAGGCGTCTACGGATGTATTATCGCTGGAGCGCCGTGTTGAGCGGCTGCTCGATGAAAACCCCCTGCCGACTTTGTTGAAGGCCAGCCAGCTGATCAACGAGGGCCTGCCTTTGGATAGTGCCAAGCGCATGTCGTGTGGGCAATGCACCAAGACATATGACGACTGGTACGAGGTTCTCTACGGGCGGCATCCATCTGACGTACCAGCAACGGAGGATGAGCAAGCGCCGGTCGGCGCCGATCATAAAGAGACACAGAGTTCTGTCCAGGAGGGTGAGAGGGATGACGCAGAGGACGTCGAGAGGGCCGTGGACGCCCTGCTCGAGAGCGGCGATGTCTCCGACACGGTGCCGTCTTTCTTCTTCTGCATGTCGTGTCTCCTCGACGGCACAGAGGTCCGGAACGCGACCGACAAACGCGAACCAGCTGCCACCGCTGGAGCTTTCACACAGAACGCCACTGCATCTGCCGACAACAAAAATGGGACGGCGACAAAGGAGGAAGCCGCGGGCACGACTCACAGCGATAATGACATTGAGGGAGAGGGAGATGTGGTGATCGAGGTGCTCACGATGCCTGGCGTGCCCGAGAAGGGACCCGTGAGCATGATGCGCATCAATGGGACTGAACAGCAGTTGGGCAAAGACGACACAAACAAGGAGGAGAAGGAAGTTGACAGCAAGGCAGAGAGGGCTGACGCGATGGCCGTGATGGCATCCCTCGACCGCATCCTCGCGAGAAGATGCCCGTGCGGCGATGACGACGATGACAAGAAGCAGGGCGGCAAGCCCAAGGGCCAGAAACACGCTGCAGCCTTCATCCAGACCACGATCAAGGTCAGGAGGCATGCGATGCGCAAGCACCACCGGCAGCACAAGAAGCGACCGACCCATCGCAGCAAACCGGCGCCCTCGCCTATGCCGTCTCTGCTGAGGATGGAGGAGAGACATGAAGACACCGCAGACTCGCAGCTGCAGCTCTTCTGCGACCTCTACTGCCAGACCATCAAGCGAAGAAAACAGCAGCAGCAGCAGCCTCCCCCTCCTCCGTCTTTCCTGGAGCTGGACAGCCATCGAACCGCCGTGAACCTCTCCCTCACCCGCCCCACGCCGTACCTCGTACCCACATACCCCCGGCCATACATCGCCACCGCCTCCCTCCAGATGGTGCCTCTTGGCGGCCAGCCCGTCTCTGCCTTCCACCAGCAGGGCATCGATGCGTCTCCTTACCTGCTGTCTCCGTTGCGCAAGCCCAAGCCGGTCGAGATCAAGAAGGAGGACGTCGAGCGGACGAAGCCGAGTGACGTCAAGGAGGAGGCAGAGGAGGCGGACCCCCTCAAGAATGATGAGGGCAACAGCAAGAAGCTTGCAGAGGTGCATGTTATGGCCGAGAAGGCGCTCAATGAGGCTGACACAGCTGTTACCAAGATGAAGAAGGACATCGGACAGCTCAGTGCTGACAAACAGGCAAGCAAGGATGCAGTGCAGTAGTTGGCTGGCGATGGTGGCTGCCATCGTGTATATGGCTCGATGTGGCAATGCAGCGTGAGATCCACACCAACTTCAAGTTGGTGTTCGACGTCAAACAGATCGCCCTCCTGGAGAGGCAGAGACGCAAGAAGATACTCGCGGCAGAGGCACACCTACAACGAGTGGGCGACGGTGCCAAGGACCCAAACACGCCACTTGTGTGCGCGCGCGTGCGTGTGTGTCAGCTGGTGGACCTGGTTGACGTCTTGAAGCAGGCATATCTCCGGGCGAGCAAGAAGTTCTGCAGAGACAGACGTCAGACACACACCAGACCGTCCATCCAATATGTTCACACATAATGCTTGCTCTTTCCCTCGCTTCAGCTCGCGTGTTGAGTGAGGAGGGTGCCTTGCCTGTGAAGCGACCAACAGCCACAGTACGAGAGACACAACACACATGAGGACGAAGGACACCACACCCACATGCATATGCATGTCTTTTCCTCACTTGTGTGTGTGTGTGTGTGTGTGTGCGCTGCGCTGCTGTGTGTCCAACCAGTGCGTCAAGAACCCCAAGGTGCCCGGCATCATCGCCATCAAGGTGAGCAGTAGAGATAAAGATGGACAGACAGAGACAGGGCATACGAGTCACTTCACGCAGGGTGAGAATCTGCACCGGTGTCTCGGCCTGGAGCTCGTCAGCACATCAGGCGAATGCGGATAGCCGAACCTGCCTGAAGGAACAAACACACAATTGTATACCTACCGTGTCGTGAATGCTGCCCACTATCTATCTCGCCTGCAGAGTTGACAAGGTCCAATCCATGTTGGAGAAAAACCAGAGCATCACATTCGGTCGGTGGATCCAACACAAGCACATCCGCTCACCCAGGCATACTGACTGACCCGTGTTCGGTGCGGTGGGCGTGTGTTCAGGTCAGAAGAAGTATCCTCGTCTGGACAACAATCATGCCATCTTCGACGACATCGAGGTCAGGGACCTACGACCGAGAAACGTGCATACCCTCTGTATGTGCACGCGTGTCTCTCTCTCTCTGTTTCCTTCACAGGTGCGCCAGACGGGCGAGTACATCCTCTGTCTGCTCCAATACCGAAAGAAGGAGAACCTGCCTTAAGCAGGGGCGGCCTTAACCCAGGTGCTGGAGGGACCGCAAAAGGCATCCGCCGCCACCTTCTCGGTCATGTCGGTCGAACCCGTCGGCACAGTCGTTGTCGCAAAACGTGAGAGAGCGGATGAGAGACACCGGCGGCTTGGCTTCCTTTCTTGATCGTCGCTCTCTCGTCTGTGTGCGCGTGTGTGTGCAGCACTGGGCTCGAGTGCTTTCAGTGTGTTTGGGAGGGGTGGAGGCATGTTCATGGTCGTGTCGATTGTGGCGGTCGTCCCCCACTTATTGGGGTTTGTTTGAGTCGAGTCGTCGCGGCGGCCATGCCATGTGGCTGTGTGGCCCGGTGCGATGTCATGTAGAGGACGTGTGGATGGATAAGCACTTGCCCATGCTCACAAGGACCTCTACCATAGGCCGTCGGAACATGTGTCAAGCCATTGCATTGTAAACGCATCGCGTCCGTCCTATCGACGTAGAGCCCACCCACAAGCCAGCTATGTATGTCTATGTCTCTTCATCAAGTGCCGCCCTCCTCAGTCTCCTGCCGCCCCGTCTCTTCCAAAATGCCAATCTCTGCAGCAGCGACACCTGCAGGACAGAAACATGTACATGGCTCATCCACGTGTCGATCTCGCTCACTTCTTACCTTATAGAGAGCCGGTGGGATGTCCTGCAAACTTCGCTGCACATGCCTGTACTCCTGACACAGCTGTGTCCATGACCAGATGGACGAACAACAGTGAGAGTGCCTCCATGGCGGGGGGGGGGGGGGGGGGGGG